TATTTCACCTTCAGCATCAGCACCCTGATATCTCTGTGTTTGCACACTGCCCTGACGCAGCAGGAATTCTGTACAGAGTCACATAAAAGAGTATCGAGGACTATGGGGGTCCAGCCCCTCTATAGTCCCCTCCCAGGGTCCGGGAAGAATCTACAACCAGCTGATAATTAATCTTTGATGAAAAGAATCCATGTACACGAAACTCCTTAGTCCATACACTTTATTATTCTGTGTCAGTTTTCTCTACACAGCTTCTATTATCTTTTAGCTCCTTCTTGCCTGATTTCTCTCTGTATTCATCTACTGTTCCCTCTAAGTTCTTTCTTAATTCTCTTATCTTAATTCTGCCTTATCTAGGTCCTTTTCATCTCGTTCTTACCCAGCTAGTACTTCCCCATCTGACTCTTCCTCATCTTCCATCTTGTCCACACATTCTCTCTGATCAAAATCCTCCTTTCCCTCTCTGTTCTGTCTCTAAGTTCTCTCAGTTGTCTACATACCTCCTATGTCTCCCAGGAATCCAGTTATAAACCCAAGCAATAGTAATCCCCTGGTTGAGCAAGGTCACCAGGCTTGAATTCTATGGGGTCAAAAAGGCAGGTAAGAATTTTTCTCAGGCAATGACCACCAGGCTTTCTTTTACAATCCAAAATGGGAGTGGTAAAAGAGGAGGTCAACAGAGTGCTAATAACCGGTTAATGTATGAAAAGGTGGGTCTATGTGCTCAGTCTACATTCTGAGATGTGGTTAGGTAAGAAGTTAGGGGTCTATAAAGTTAGTAAGGCTGTAAGAAGGAAGGGTCCGAGCTAAATTGTGTAAAGCTATTACTTAACATGCACCTGACCTAGGTGGTGTCTCCTTGTGGAATTTACCTTAATCAGGAGACTAGCATGTGGACTGTTATTACCGTTAATCCTTGAAAGTGGTTAATGGAGTTATCTGATTCCAGTACTGAAAGGGGAGAACCCGATGGGCTGGGGGGAAGGAAGCCTTTCCCAAGGCTATTCTCCAAATACCTTAAATGTATATGTCCAAAGGGTGATCAGTCCAAGCCGTTAGCACTTCTAGGGGCAAATCAATTGGGAAAACTATGAAGGCACACATGATTTTCATAACAGAAAACAGCTGATATATAACAAGCCAAAAATAACACCAAAATCTCCTTGGGATTTGGCTTCCTCTGGAGGAATTCCTTGATCCCTCCAGGTAGTGACTTTGCCATAACCAGCTGCGTTCTTATGATAGATTCCTGAAGCCCTCAGCAGAAGAAGGGACAACTCTGAAGCACAACTTTAAGAATACATGACCTTATTTATTTTGTCTATGTTTATATGGTATGTGTGGAGGTCATCCTTGGCCATAGGACACATGCAAAGGTCAGGGCAAAAGTGGGAGAATTGTTTCCTTCCACCATACTGATCTGTGGGACAGAGGTCATAAAGCTTGGCAGGAAGTACCTTTACCTGCTGATCCATCTCCACAACCTGCAAAATGTTTGTTTGTTTCTTTTGTTTCTTTTCAGACAGGGTCTCATGTTGTATCTCAGGCTAGCCTGAAAATAGCTACATTTCCGGAGCTAAGCTGGCTTGATGTTGTGACAATCCTCCTGCCTCAGCCTCCCAAATTCTGGGATTACAGACATGAACCACCATGCCCCGCTCTGGTCCCCTTTTCACATTTCCTTAGTCCTCAGTGTTCAGGGTTTAACAAATTAAGGATCTGACCGGGCCTGAGTCATTTTGCTAAATGACTAGAAAGATGTCTGCACAGCTGTCCATCAACAGGAGGCTGGGATGGAGAGAAGTGGAGGAAAGGTCCAGGGTGCCCCCAGTCAGATTTCCTCCCTCAGCAGGCAGATCTGCAAGCGCCACTAAAACAACAGCAAAAGGAAAGAACTCCACAAACCGCCTTGGAGAGAAGTGTGCTGGGAGTTTAAAGCTCAGGCCCTGGACTCAAACCTTCTCTTTTGAAGATACGTTTTCTTAGCTGGATAAACCTGAGCAATCACTGACCTCAGTTTCCCCAGTTGAGAATCAGCAATAGTCATTGTGTCTTCTCTCACACAGTGGTCTGAAGAGTGAGTTAGTATTTGTGTAGAGCTCAGAACAATTCCAGTCATGTTAGAGACTCGGGGTTACAAATAAATGTCTGCTCTCTTAATGAGGAAGAACGCTGTTCCAATACCTTCCCATGGACACAGTTTACGCTGTCAGGTCTTTAATGAGGAAGAGCCCTGTCCCTACAGCTTCCCATGGACACAGTTCACGCTCTCAGGCCCACAGAAATTTTTAACTAATGATGATTTCATGATTCTAACAATTATTAGCCAAGTAACTTTCCCAGCTGAAATATGACCTGGGAAATCCAAGCACCATTCTTACCCAGTTTGGAGAGGTCAGACTCTGTGGAAGTTTGGATGGATAACTTCTCCATGTGATGGAGTTTTGAAAAATCCCCAGGGATGATCAAAAGCACATCTGGAATGCCATCTAGTCTCACAGACAATTCTTTCAGGCTTGAGAACTTGTCCAAGTTAGCGAAAAGTTGACCTGGGAAGCAGCACATAGTTTCCATCACTCATGCGTCCCAGGCGGAAATTCTCAAGTGTGCTGTGATTTTTAGATATATTCATAACGAAACATCTCAGAGACTCTAACATCTGTTTAGGAAGCACATCCATGAAGAACGTGCTGTCTGCAGCATCTGGTGGTCACTGAGCATAGGGGAAGCTCCGTGGTGCTCTCCAGACTCACAGAATAAATAAGACAGCTCCCCAACCAACCACAGTGTGGGAACAACTGGTTTTGTACATGCAAAAGGACACAGTTAGACTTCAACGTAAATAAAAAATGTAACTTGGCACCTCTCTACCAAAGCAGATCTGGCATGTCCTTTTCCAAGGTCTAGTACCAGGTAAGTCTGACATCTTCCCCTCCATTCACCCATCCCCAGCCCACTAGTTCTAGCCTAGATTCCAATCCAGATTGTGGGCCTAGTCTAGCCACCCCTGTCTGTGCCACTGCCAAGATCTAGGATTGTCCCCTGACCCACTCTGCCTCCCTCCTGCCCCTAACCTTCAAGCCACTCACACACCACATCTAACCTTTCTACCCAGCCAGGTCCTACACGTCCTTCTCCAGGGTCTAGCTGGGTGAGTTTGCCTGATGCTCCCCTCCTCACACCCACCCAACCCTCACATATACCCCCCAACTCCAATATTGGACCAGAAGGAAGATCTTTCACACCAGCCCAGTGCCCTGGGTCCACCTGAGCCATATCCAACCTCAGGTTCAAACCAACCCACACACCCTCTCTTTTGCCCAATCTGTTCTATTTATATCAGACACAGAACTATCAAAAGAAGTCTCATCACAAAAATAGGAACACTGCAAAAGGTCAAGGCAGTAATTCCCCCCACTTCACACACCCCACAAATCTATTAGTCCTGTAGAAATGTTTGTCAACAAGATTGACCTGGGTGAACCTCAGGTCACAGAAGTGAAAAGAACAACCAGGCACTTGACCAAAGAAGTTATGGAGAATGTAAAGAGTTTTAAAGATGACACAAAGAAACAGCTCCATGAAAATAAGGAGAAAGAGCTTAAGAAGGAATGCTTGACTGTTGCCCAAGAACACACAAACCTAAGGCTAACAGACGTGATGAGGACAGTCCAAGACTTGAGAAGGGAATTCAGTCAGAAGATTGAAACACTGAGCAAGACTCAATGAACTGAAGATGGAGTTGAAAAACCTAGCAACTCAGCTGGAACTCTCAAAGGAAAGCCTGAGAGTAGAGTGAGAGAGCAGAAGATAGAACAGCAAGACTTCGTGATCCTCCTGCCTCCGCCTCCTTTAGAAAATCCTACCGATACTAGATGTGGAACAAGGATGACTAGACTGCTACTCACATCACCAGTGAGGCTACCTGGAAAACAGGACCCCAAGAAAGACACGAGGATCGCCCAATGACAGAGAAATGGCTGAGATCTTCATGAACAGCCTGGACATGAGTGGGAGCAATGAAGGGCAAGGGTTGAGGGAAAGAGAGCGGGAGATCCCAGCTGGATCAAGAACAGAGAAGGAGAACAAGGAATAAGAGACCATGGTAAATGAAGACCACATGAGAAAAGGAAGAAACAAAGTGCTAAAGAGCCATGGAAACCATGCACAATGAGATCAGAAGCCTATTCTGAGCCTGTCCTTCCCTTCTCTGGCCCTGGGATAGCTGGAACTGTGCCTCACTGGATACTGCAGCAAGAGAACTGGCCTTGACCATCATGGGACAGCTGGCCTCCCAAACTCTGGAGAGATGGCCCCATGCCTCACCCAAGACAGAGGAGATCTGACCCTGATTGCATGGGCACAGGGGAGATGGCTCCCCTCCTCACCTGAGGGGGTCGGCCACAGTGCCCTGGACTGACCATCTGAACCACCACCCAGGCTTACCTAGGGCTGGCCCACCCTGACATCTACCCCCATCTAGGACCTGCTGGAGCTTGTGAAGGGACTGGTCCTGTGGAAAAATAACCTCAGGATCTCCATGACTCACGGTGGCTGCAGGATATCCAAATGAACTTTTAGGTGAGGATCCAGTGAGGACGGTGTGCCAGAAACCAGAGCCTTGAACCAGACTCATAACAATGAACATTTGCAAATAAAGCTGTTTAGACAAAAGGGTGGACTTGTGACACACCAGGGCTCCCAATGCCACCAGGACTAATGAAGAGGTGCTGGAGAGATGGGAAAGATGGAGGAACGGAGAGGGTTTTGTTGTTGTGAGGTATTTTTTCTGTTCTTTCGTTTTGGTTTTTATTTTCTGTTCGTGTTTCTTTGGTTTGGTTTGGTTTATGTTGCACATTATTTGTTTAACTAGTTAAAGATATAATGCACTTGTTTAACTGTGTAAAGATGTGTTGATTTGTTTAATTATGTACAGATGTGTTGCTGTTTTACCTTGCCTGCCTAAGGCATCTGACTGGTCTAATAAAAAGCTGAATGGCCAATAGTGGGGGAGGAGGAATAGGTGGAGCTTCTGGGCTGTAAGTAGCAGGAGGAATTTAAGCTCCAGGAAAGAAAGAAAAGAAGACAACAGGGAGACATTAGGGGCCACACAGACAGACTGACACAGAAGAAGCAGAAAGGTAGGACACACAGAATGACAAAAAGGCAAAAAGCCCCAGGAAAAATGTAGATGACTAGAAACAGGTTAAATTAAGTTATAAGAGCTAGTGGGACAAGCCTAAGCTAAGGTCGAGCAACCATAATTAATAATAAGTCTGTGTCTTTATTTGGGAGCTGGTTGGTGGCCTAAAAAAATTCCAACTACAATTTTGGTTTGTTTTTTTGTTTGTTTGTTTGTTTGTTTTTATTTTCATTTGGGAGGCCACAGCTGGGAGGCTGGATAAGGAGGGACTGGATGGTGAGCAAAATTGGGGTACATGATGTAAAATTCCCAAAGATCAATAAAGAAATTATGTTTTAAAAAGAGGAAGACAAAGGAAGCCACAGACAGAGCAGAGCATCCTTGAGCAACAGCAGCTGCTGAACACCAGAGCTATGCTCTAACAACAACAAAATTTAATGATCAAATATGTACAGTGGTATAAAAACTTAGAACAACTGAATGAGAGGCAAGTCAAGTCTAGGGGCTGAAAAGACGACTCAACAATCAAGAGCTCTTGTTTGCAGAGGACCCAGTGAGGTTCCCAGTACCACATTGGGCTGCACACCACAGCCTGGAACCAAAGCTCCAAAGGATCTGACATTCTCTTCTGACCTCTGAGGGTACCCACACCATACATGCTCATGAAAACACACACACACACACACACACACACACACACACACACACACACACACTGAAATAAATATCTCTTTAAAAAAGAAATCATTACAGAGATAATGTATACACAAAAACAAACATTGCTTAGAGCAGTGATTCTCAACCTTCCTAATACTGCAACCCATTTATACAGTTCCTCAGGTTGTGGTGAGACCCCCAGCATAAAATCATCTTTGTTGCTACTTCATAACTGTAATTTTGCTACTGTTATGAATGGTAATGTAAATATCGGATATTTCTGATGGTCTTATGTGACCCCTGTGAAAGTATCATTCAGCACCCTCAGGGGTCATGACCTACAGGGTGAGAACTGCTGGCTTAAAGAAGACATAAATATTATTTACCCATATTAAAAAGTTTTCTCTGGAGAAGCGAACCCCCCTCCTCTTTCAGGCAGCCAGGGTGCAGATGATTGCTTACCATCATCTTACACAGAGGCCATCATTTATCAATAACAAGCAATTCAAACTCTTATTAATGACCTTGAGGGGTGAATACTGATG